GTAAACTCCTATATATAAACATTCTCCTCTATGATACTAACTAAGATTTATTACCATCAATAGTTTGAATTTAGTTTATAGAACTCTCTATTAACTATATAACTCTACATATTATTAAACTCTCTCATCTCTTAGAAAATTCTCCCATCTTTCAATTTCCATTTCTCTACAACACTCTATACTTCTCATCATTTATGTTAATGAAATAAAAATATATAAGGCCTGAGAAAACAAAAATAGCATATATGTGGTCAAAAATAGCATAGATGTGGTCGATATTATACTTGACATATACATGTGGTCGATATATATATATAATTTAAAAATGGATGGAACAATAATAATTATCAATGCAGATATCATAAACCAACCAGGACAAAAAGAAAAAAAGAAATAAAGAGAGAAAAAGACATTAACTAAATTCGTAGTGAGGTGAAAATTACCATCTCCTTTCTTTTAATTTATTTTCTTTGTAATTAGTGTTGTACTTTCCTTCTTTATTTTTATTTTTTATTTTTCCTTTCTATCGTATTAAGCACAGTTTTTGTATTAAATCTTTTAGAGTTCTCTGTATTATGATATCACCCATCTTTTAAGAAAAAAAAAAAAAAAAAAAAATTGTCTTTCATTCATGTGCACTTTATGTTACGTGCGATTTGTGGCTGATTGCTAACATTTAATTTGCAAATTATGGTAGATTCTAAAATTGTTAACGAATGAATTGATTAGTTCGTTACAAAAATAAAAAATAAAATTTGGGAGATAAAATAATAATGATGGGAGTGAGAGTACAAACCCCTCCCACATGTCACACTGTGCAAATAGAGGTTATATTGTGCAGGCGTCACACAAACGCCTAGCAGAATATGACATGGCATCTTGCATAGATCGAGAACTTTATAGACTTTTTTGTATAGTTATGGAGCCATCCGAAATTCTATAAAATAGTGTGGAGTTATCTAAACTTGTATAAATATGTATAGAGTTCTCTATGTTATTCTAGACATGTATAGATCATTCTTTTAAGGATTCTAGAACCCCATTCTAGATCTCTCCCTTATACATTTCTAGAACTTTCTTGCAAGGGCGGGGGCAGAGCTAGAAATTTTCAATTTGGAGGGGGAAATAGTGATATAAAGTTAAATTTAACAAATACATAAAATAATTACAATAATTTATTTTTTCCTAGTGCTTTTTTAATGTACATTTTTAAGAACAAATCTATAAACAATATCAGTCCATTAATAAAATTGTATTTTTTTTTTAATTTTTTAACAAGATTTACAGAATAATAAACACTTCTATTATTAAGTTTGAATTTTTAAAGATAGACCAAAAGGTTAAAAAGAGTCGTAAATAATTTATTTCATAAACCATCCTTAATTTTTATAGATAAGTAACTATAAATGAAAACTTTATAAAATTTTGGGAGGTGAAGGGATCAACTTTAATTTTCTTATACAAAATTACCATTAATAACCATGAATAATTATTGTTAATTGAATTTTGAAAAATATTTGGGAGCGCCAAATTTAATATTCTATACAAAATTACTATTAATAATCATTAATATCTATATATTATTACAACTACTAATAAATAAATAAATAAAATAAAATAAAGGGATAATTAAACTGACCTCCGTTGAGGTTTCGTCAATATACACTGACCTCTCTCCTTGTTTGCCAAATAACACTGACCTCTCCTTGTTTGCCAAATAACACTGACCTCTTTCAAAATTTATAAATTGATAACATTGACCTCCCTTGCCGTTCAACAATTAACGGTCTAAGCTTATGTCCGTCAAAAAATTTAGCATAAAGGCAATTTTACCCTTCTAATACATGAAATGACATTTTTAACCTCAATAATCACTGCAAATTTACAATACTATCCTTGACTTATAAACTCAAAAGGACAATGGTGCCCTCGTATCAACGACACCCAATGGGTCTAAACTGCAACCACGAAATTTACCAGAGAGACCAACGGCGGCTGTTTTACTAGCGAGAAACGAAAGCAAGGAAAGATGGGTCAGCGACCAAAGAGGCAAGAATAGTGTGAAACCCAGTTCGGCGAACAAACTGCAACTCCGGTGACAACAAAATCGTTGTCTTTTGAGACCTTCCTTGGTTTCGGTGACAGCAAAATCCAGTTCGGACTGAACCACATCGGAACCAAAAATTTGTAGACAAAGAAATATAGATACACACCCAGAGAGAGCGCTTAGCTTTTGATAAGGGCAACAATGGTTGCTTGGGAGGTAAAACTCGCAATGGGCAGTCTGTGATGGTGCTGGAAAGCTTCGTCGAGATGGGTCTTGAAGGTTGGCCGAAGCATAAGATGATGCTGGAATCTCGCTGGAACTGGGTTTTGCCGAGCAATCTACAACAATAATAGTCGCGATTCCAGCGATGGTAGTAAGCAACATAGTGTAAGGATTCGGCCGCGATGCAAGCACTGAATTTAGCAAGGATGGGCCGGCAAGCAAGCAAGAACGGGGCGATAAATATGAACAGCGGTAAAGGAGTTTACCGGCGAGGACAAACTGCGACATGGAGAACTCACCGGCGAGGAATGAAGAATCCATCGGCAAGTTGTCTTTCGGGTGCACTCCTCGACGGCAAAGGTTCATGCAACGCATTCGCCGGAGATATTGTTCGGAGCTTTGCATACTTACACTTAGATTAATGGAGCTTTGCATACTCACACTCACAATCTGACCCATCGTCGCTATCCGTCGCCGCAACTGTTGTGCTCGCCGTCGTCGGTCACCATCATCGGCCGTCATCCAAGCACACTGACGGTCACCATCATCGGCGGTCTCGTCATCCTTGCCGACCATTTAGTTGTTCTAAGCTTGCAGCTACCAAGCCGGAAAGTTCCATTGCTGTAAAATCCTTGATAGCCGGTAAGTTCTCTTGTCGTTGATAGTACAGACCGCTTGGGTCATCACCGGTAAAGCACAGTCCCAACATCTACAAATCAGTCGCTTGTTCCCCGGGACAGTTCCTTCTAGCTTAACCACTGTTTAGTTAGTCCATGCTCGTCGGTAAAGACACCTTCCTTCGCCACCGGTACGAACAACCCCTCACATCGTCGTCGTTCCGTGTGTTTGACGGTACACTCCGTCGTCGAGCACATCAATGTCCATGCTCTTTTCCGTTGACACCACCCGTCTCCAGCACAGGCCCACTACCAAGGTGGGAACATATAAGAAACAAACATTTGGAGATGAAGCATGGTTGTCGGGGAGCCGTTGGGGACAGAGGAGAGAAAGAGTGGGCTCGTCGATAGTGGCAAGGCCGTGGGAAAGGAGAAGAAAAAAACAAAAATCTTAAAAAGGGTACCGTTGGTATTTTACATCCATAATATTTTATATATTTTATAATAAATTAATAAATAAAGTTAAATTAGTAATTTTATTCTTTTCGTTAACAATATCCATTTATAAGGGAGAGAAGTGTTATTTGACAAATAAGAGGGGAGATCAATGTATAATGATGAAACCTCAGGAGAGGTCAGTGTAATTTACCTTAAAATAAATTGGGGTGTAAGGGCCAAATACCCATAAAAGGTGAGAGTTCATTTGCTCCTCACGCAACCAAGTGTAATATTTTCTAGTGCAATATAAGTTCATATTTTCAAACTTCCTTCCTCACTTGCCTTACTCTCTTCTTGCACACTTTAAAAAGTAAAGTAAACTTATCTAGCCTTCATTACACAATTTAGTAAGCAAAGCAAACTTGTCTAGCCTAAGTTTTCACTAAACTAACACACTTAGATAGGCTGATTTGGCACTTCAAAAGAGCTTGGATGTGTCTAAGGCTGCATATGAACTTGAAAAAGGCCCAAATCCGTGACATAGAGCTAACTTTAATTGAATATTATCTACATGGTTCAAGTGTGCCACAATATGGGTAAAAGTATACTTAATAATAATAATAATAAATGTATCCACATCATTTATTTTTATATTTACACTCTCGTCTTAAAAGAAATGACACTTCTAATGAAACGATCTTAGTTTACTTAACTTTCTCAAATCTTTAATATATTTAATTTTGTTTTTTACAAGACCCAATATATATACATACATATATAAATATATACAAAAAAAATTAATTCCGTTGAATAAATTATCTCTTGACATGACCTATATATATATAGTGTACGTTACAGAGAAAAGGTTTAAAAAAACTTATTTCTGTTAAATAAATTATCTTTTGACATTACTCAGGAATATATATATATATTAAAGGAACTAAAGAAGGTAAACCAAAAAAAAATAAAGTTTATAATATATAGGGTAGTTATGATTTATTAATAAAGTGCAATTGCAATATATATATATATGTTAAGTGCAGAAAAAGGGGTGCAAACCGTGCAATCGACGGTCACACGTTATTTTTTTAGTTAATAAACACCCATATGTCTCCACCAATACAAGCTTTGTCCCGTACATTCTAAAGAAAATAGTTTGTCCCTATCTCATTTTTTTTTAGTCTGGCTTGCTTGTGTTCATAGGTCGTAAAATTAAAGTTTACTTTATCTTGCATAAAAAATAATACTAATAAATAAATATATGGTTTAGGTAGTAATATTTGTTAATCGAATTGGCCTTCTTCATTCAGGTTGGTCTTTTGGGCATAGGAATAAGCCAAATCCAAAATACTACTACCTTTGATGAGTGAACATAACTTGCGTCCAGAATTCTTTTTTTCCTCTCTGAGAAATTAAAATTGACAAGTGACATCACAAGACCTATTACATGTCCAAACAAAATCAATTTCAAAAGTAATACAATGTAATTTGTTACAATTCCGAGACTGGCAAATCCAATAAGCTTGGAATCAACAGTAGTCTAACGCTACTCCTCACAGTTCAAAAAATAAAGCTTCAACATTTAAGTTGGTGTCTGAGCTTCTTGCCGAGATGTATATATATAACAATATATAAATAAAAATCTTGTGCGAATCATTCCAAAGAAAAGTCTGAAATTCATTTTATAGTTTTTGAACTACATTATAATTCTTAAGTAATGATAAATACAGCTAAAACTCGAATTTGCAAGCCGCTTCATGTACGCTAACCATCCCATAATAAATGAATATTGAGAAAAATCTGACTCCCATTTTACATTGTTCTCCAGACAAAAAAAGATGTCTGATGAAGAAAACAGATGAGAAAAGAAGATACAAAGCAATTGGGTGCAGGCTTTTTCTTTGTGGGTGTCGTGTCATGCTTTGTGATTTTTTGTCATCTCATCAACATCCAGTAAAGGGGAATCCAAGTGCATGCTCTTGTGGCTGGTAAAAGTAAACACCATATTTATCATCACAAGATAATTCCCAATATACATGAGAAAATAGATGGAGTTGATTTTATTAGGTCGACTCACCTGTTCTCTACAGGACCATGGTCCACGGCTGTTGTCAGGCAGTATAAAACCCTGCCAACTACGTCTGTCATCGAAATGGGGCCAAATGTCCGACTGTCATTGGCGTCCTGAAATCAACACGAGAGGAGAAAGCACGGAGACAAGGAGATTATGATCAACTCTCCCTATCCTGTAAACAGTCCAGTGTAGCCAAATGCCAAGTACTACTACAAGTTCTAAATGGTTTGAATAGATATACATACCTCATAGCTAGAGATTGTTATAAAGAACAGATGCAAGTTAATCCAATGAATGTACCAAAATATTAGCAAGAATAACATGATTAGATTTTCAAAACAAGAAAAGGCCTATATACCTTGGGCTTTAAATTCCCATTGTCAGCCAACACCCTGCACTGGTCCTTTCCAAGGACAAAAGGCTCATCTTTTTCATCATCAGACACCATTTCATACCCTTCTGTGGCAGCCACTCTCCGAACAAGATAGTTACCTGAGGTTTCAGGGTCTTCCAAAACCACAGCATCTCCTACCAAAACTTGTCTGTCAAAAAGCATGCATCCAGTCAGGGAACCATGAAACTAGAAACAAAGACACGGAGATAAAACGACAGCACAACCACCACAAACTCCTAAAGCTTCAACAAGAGACATTAAGGATTTTAAACAAGCAATGTGAATAATCCAAGTACACCAAATAAGAAGTATGTGAAACTTGTACAATACCGCTGGAATCAAGTCATGACTACTATTGTATACTTTTAACAAAAAGGTCATACAAACAAACATATTTGAACAAAAACACCAAAGAGATGATTATTCAGAAAACCTTATCCCAACTATTTGGTGAGCAAAACAAATTCAATTATGATGGTAACGGCAACCAAAAGTCCACGGAATGTGCAAATTGGTTCATTCCATAGAACTCATCCAAACATGAATTGGATGCTACTCATACTCGCAGAATTAGTCAAACTTTTGCATTGACTAGACTCTACTAAGTGCCAGTATGTGTAACTCTCGTTTGCCAAGGCTTGCAAAAAATTTAACTTACAACAGTTGGGTACAGACTTGTTCGACAAGAAAATGCCAGCTTGCAACTGAAACCACAATCTACACTTTATACAGAAATATAGCATAACAAGTCAACCTTACCAACTTTACAAGGGGATAACATGCCGTAGAATAACTACTAAGTCAATATAACAAACTCTTATACCATCCATTTGGTCAGCAACACAACTCCGATGTGTAGATGCATGCAAACAGTTGCTTGAAATCCAAAGAGTAGCTTGGCAGCCAACTGAAAATTAATATTAACAAAGCATTATGGCATTCATTTATAGCCAATCAGAAGTCCACAAAATCCAAACATCTTGAAAAGCAATTGGGATCCACTAGGATTTGAAAGGTTCTGCATTGCTTTTGAGTGCTCATATGACAATCAAGCTTCAACTTTACTAATTAGCAAAAATGCTAAAAATTGTAAAGTTTATGCATTCATGAAGAGCGATTATATCAGCATACTTGCTAAAAGAGAACAGGTGCTATATGAATTGACTAAGAATCTAAGCCTTTCAATCATCACAAAACCTAGAAAGTGCGTATGCCAATAGATATATGTGGATATATGACTAATATTACTTCTAATGGACCAAAATACTAGTTATTTTTTGTGCTGCTAGCACTAAACAGTTTGTTTTAAGCATTTGAACAGCTATTAAATAAGCATACTGCACTAGGGTTCATAGTATCTTCTTGAATTTCTCAACCAAGACAAAAATTTATAGGTGGTAAGGCTAAGAAATGTCCTTCCAAAGCTTTAAGTAGACTGAAGGAAATTATTTAAAAAGTTTACCTAAAAACCATTATTATGTAAAGCAAGAGATACAATTTGTCAGGTAACATGGCCAATTTTTCATATCCCCAGAGACCAAAGTATTTGCAATACTTTATATAAAATCACAATTAGATTGGCAAATTTCCAGAAAATGCATGCACACAAACACAAGCCTCTCAGTTATTTTGCAGTACATAAAACTAAATACTAATCACAACCTAGATAGCGTAGTTGCACATTTACATGCGCAGCTAGATGCAAATGAACCTTCAGAAAGAATAAAATGGAGAAACACCAATGGAGCTCCCAAGCCTCGAGAATCTCAGTGGAACATACGAATCCCTACCGCAGATGGAAGCGAACACAACTAAGATTGCTAATTACCTTGACATAATCAAGAAAAAAAGGTCTAGGGTACATTTAAGAAATGCCCTGCTAAATATTCCACTAATTGAAGGGAACTTCCAGCAAGTGAACTTGATTTTCAATTGTTATGCGCAAGTGAAATGTATAATTTACAAAATCAAAGGTCCCAACTCCCAAGTTTAAATTCCATAAGCATTCGCCATGAAACAGTTAGAAACCTTTTCAAAGGGCTAGTGACTCAACTGTTAGGATATGTGCGCCCTAGCATAGCAAATTCTAATTTTGGATTGTAAAAGTCATGGTTTCTTGTCTGGATATTATTATTAAAGCATTATACAATTGGTGAATGGAATGTATTATTTTTCGATTCTTTATGGAATTGATGGTGTCCGCTTGATTACAAAATATATTTATATATGTATGTAATGGCAATTAATACTATGATATAAATTAGTAATCATAAATGGTTTAAAGTCGGTAATTATGGATGGACATTTAATTAGTTAAGACTTAAACCGAGTCCACGATAGATTGAGATATATTGCGAGAGCTGTCGTATGCAATTACTCTCTATCACAGTCATGGCTTTTGACTCTCAAGCATGAGAGAAGTATAGACTCTTTTATTAATTAATAATTACTTTGATTTGTTCGGCGGATACCTCGGGATCCTTAGATCGACACTTTGAGTAGTTATGTAATTAATAATTAGAGGTCTATATTCTCAATATTTGCATCAGTGCTATTTGTATTTATTTTGTTTTGATTATGGTTGATCACAAATTAAATTCGAAGGCCTTCGTATGTTTTAGACAAATGTTTTATATATATATTTATTTAATAAATTATTATTATTTTTTGTCAAATAAATATTTTATTGTGATCGAGCCGGAAATAATCAAAGGTAACAAAATAATTATATTAATTATGTTGTCGGATTGATGGCTTTAATTATCCCATAAATAATTAAGTATAGAGGGGTCAAAGTGCAACATTGACTTAGAGGTTATTTACTATTTAATTGGAGTGCAATTAATTTCTTTTAGTGAAGTAGAAATTAATTTATGAATTAATTGAATTGGGTCCATGGTTTAATAGACCGGACCAATTATTAATTTATAAGAGCCAAGAAAATAGTAAGCCCAAAAGGATTCTCACCAATAGCCCAAGTTGATATTGGAGTCATGTTAGGATTGAGAAAGTTGAATTAGAGATGGAGAATAATTTATTGTTTCCTTATTCTTATTTTTATTTTGCCTATATATATATGAGTTCATGTATATTTTAGGTGTGACTTGGAGAACAAGAAAAAGGAATACACTTTCTCTCTCTAGATTTTAAGGTTTTGTTTCTCTTCTAAAGGAGGCTACCACCAGCCTAGATTCCAAGGTCATTCATCAAGGCATATTGGTGATTCCTAAAGAGAAGATAATAATCAAAAAGAAGGAGAAATGATCTTGCTAAAGGGATCTACAATAAGTGAGAACATTCACTTTAGAGGAAAGTTCAAAAGGTTTACTCAGACCTTTGATGTAAGTATTCAATCTGTTTATTGAATTATGCATCATCTTTTATTTATCTTTGCATAAAACTTGTCTCCATGTAATGAATCAAGATCTATGATTGCAAATCCCTCAAAAAATTTTAAAAACTTGCACGTTTCCCAACAGTGGTATCAGAGCACATGGTTTGATTCATACTAGAGAACATGTGTTTATAAAAATCATATTCATGGATCCAAATTATATATACATATATAAAATTATTGATATATGTTGATGTATGATTTATTATGTTGGTATATATTAATACATGATGATGTATGTATAATTGTGAATGGATGATAATATGTGTTTGGGCCATGGATGAAGCTTATAGGTATATTGAATGTAATTAAGGCTTTATTTTAGCTGTTTGAAAATTCAATGATGTAATTTATTTTTTTCCATTGTATTTCAAATTGTAAGTATTTATTAAAGCCATGTAATATTCATCAAAGGATGCTATGAAGCTTCAAGAGGGTCCGAAAGGGTTAAATTATGCTTCAGTAATTTTCTGGAATTTTTCTGAATTTTTTGGGAATTTTTTGAGGCTTAATTTAATTTTCTGGGATTTTTTGGAATTTTTTCGGCGTTTTTCCGGTGGCCGGAGCTTCGCCGGCGGTGAGAAGAGGCGTCGGAGGTGGCCCGGATCAGGTGTGGCAGTGGCTAAGTGAGCCTGGCGCGTGTTCCACACGCGCCAGGAGTGGGCTGGTCAATGACAAGCTGGCGCGTGGATCTCACGCGCCAGCCAAGGAGTTGATACACTCCACGCGCGGGAAGGCGCGTGGAGGCGCGTCCCACGCGCCCCAGGCGCATGGGAGCGCGTGAGGGTGCATTCCACGCGCCGCAAGCGCGTGCCGGCGCGTGGGGGCGCGTGGGAGCGCGTACAGCTTGCCCTAGGCGCGTGCCAGCGCGTGTGGGGTCCTCCGGGCTCGTTCCAAGCGGCGTTTTGCTTCTCCTGACGCGTACAAGCTTCCTATGGGTGTTTACAGACAGTTGAAGGATGCCCGTACAGCAAGAATAGTTTTTAAATGTTAAAAGCTGAATCCATTGGCCATTTATATTGCTTCTGTCTATTATTTGATGCATGGAATAATTTAATGCTTATTATAATTGTTCATGCATTGGATCCATGATTTTTAATTAAATGGCTTGATTTATATTAATTAAATTATGAAGATAAATTGGATTAGATTGCTAATTAATTTGAGAGCATTTATTGGGAAACAGAAAAATTATTTTTGTAAATTATTTTTTGACTCAAATTAAATATTAGTGAATCATTTAAAATCCATATATTTTCTAAATTTAATTGGATTAAAATTAAGGCGTTTTGCATGCATTAAATCATGAATTGAAAACCCTAGTTTTACATTATTAAAAATTGAGTGGGAGCGGGGATTTTTTATACATTACCCCATGGCCTTCGTAATTATAACCATTATGATTAGATCTTTAAAAATAAGGCTCCACGCATGATTTAAAGAGTCTAGATTACAAGAATGGTTGTCTCACAAAAATATATTTATTAAATAACCATTATAGTTAGATCTTTAAAAATAAGGCCCTACGCATGATTTAAAGAGTCTAAGCTATTAATGGCAATATATTTAATATTTGTTTTTCCGTTGGAACATTAATTATGTTATACACTCAATCTAAAATCAATAGTATTAGCTCCCCAACGGAGTGGTCTATACTAGGTGATTTCAGAAAGGCTAAATCTAATCGGGAATTATTTCATATTTAGATAAGGCATTGTCTAAAGAGATATGGAAATAATGAGTTATTCTCGTCAATAAGCAATAATGAATTCCGCTAACCGGATAAGTTATTGGCATATTGATTGTCCGATTTTTCATGCAATGTGGTTAAGGGACCCACAATTAATTAATTGTTTTATACTTGCATGATTATTATTATTCACTTTATTTATTGTATGAATGCTTTTATTTTCAGATTTATCATGACTAGTCCATTTAGTCCACTTGCAAACATACTAAAAGAAAATCGATTAACTGGACCTAATTATATCGATTGGAAAAGGCAACTAGATATTGTACTCACATATAAGGGGTTGAATTATGTGCTTACTACTCCTAGACCTTCTCCACCTTTGCCTGAGGATCCTCCTGAGGAGCATGAAGTATTTAAGAAATGGAATAAAGCAGATGAGATGACTAGGTGCTACATTCTTGCTTCACTCTCGAATGTACTCCAAAGTCAACATCTTCAATATCTCACTTCTGCAGACATCATGTTTAACCTTAAGGAAATGTTTGGGCAAATTGGTAAGAGCGCACGCCAAAATGCTATGACAAATTTGATGACCATTAAGATGGTCCAAGGTACTTCAGTTCGGGAACATGCTTTAAAAATGATTGGTTTTTTAAATGAACTGGAGATCCTTGGATGCAACTTGGATGGTGAACTTCAGGTTGACATGATTATCGCTTCATTGCCAGACTCATTTAACTCTTTTAGGGTTAATTATTATATGAATAAGCTTGAGTACACACTCGCTGAACTATTGAATGAGTTGGTAACCTTT